TTTAGCAGTTACACAATTACTCAGCACCCCCTTTCTGGGGATAGGCTGGCAGCGAGTGTGTCCCCAGCCCCACTCCTGGGAGCCCCAGCCACCTGGTGTTGCTGCCTCTGTATTAGAGGCAGCAGCGCAGGGCAGCAGCAGTCCCCGTCCGTGAGAGGTCCAAACTCCCCATGAACAGAGGCTGCTTCGGCATCCCATGGATCAGCCTATTGTGGGGAGTTCGGTCCTCCCACAGACGGGGCTGCTGTTGCCCCACATGGCTGCCTCTGACACAGAGGGAGCAGCCTGGGGTGGCAGGAGTCTCCTCTGCGTGCTCTTCATTTAAAACTAGGACAGGCGGGCTGGGACTGAGCCAGCCTGCTGATCCAAGTTTTAAATGCAGAGCATGCAGTTGGGGGGAAGGGTTCAAAGCAGTTAACTGGTATATTAACTGGCACATTAAGTGATTGCTTATTAGTTTACCAGTTAACAACTACCCTGTGGACATCCCTACTTTCTTGTCCATCATCCAAGAGTTTGCTTTGGTGTAATCTATTCTGTTTTGTTTAGATTCCTATAACTTGCTCATTGCCATGGTACCCAAGTGCCTATTTTTTGTCATTAATCTGTTTATACTCAAAACCAAGGCCTTTAGTTTGGAGGGCTGCACTCGATGACCTCCTGAGGTTTCTTTCAGCCCTGGAATTCTATGATTCCATGGAATAGAAAGTGGAGAAAGCAGACTTTTCCCAGAAATGTGGTGTGGGTGTCTGGCAAACATATACATGATATTTGCATATAATTACTAGCATCAATTTGCTCTTTGGGTCTGTTTGGTCTGTGTTTGTACAGGCCTAGCACAATGGGGCTCCTAAGTGCTACTTTTGTGCAAATATATAAAAATAATGTGAAACAAAGGTAATTTGTTTGTATTCGTTCCATTTTCTCTAATCAAAAAAGTATGCATACAAGTACCTAACTTGGTAGATTTACCATAAATCATTCAATCCCCTAAATGCTTTACCCCCTGAAGGTGTTTTAAAAGTAACAGAGTGACAAGAACAAAAAAGCCTTTTATCTTTCTACAATGTTCCTCGAAAAGGAATCTGTAATCCAATATTCAGATAATGCAGATATGATGTGACCTTTGCTGGAAGAGTAATTAATAAATCATAAGGCCAGAACAAACCACTGTGACCATCTACCCTGACCTTATATAACACAGCCCATAAGACTTCTCTGGGAGCCTATCATTTAGAAAAAAAATTATATGGATGCCTTCATGGGATCTCATATGTAATGGCAAGTTTGAGACTTTGAATTTTAATAAGTAGTATTCAAAATACTGAACATAAATGGGGTTATGGCTGGTGGCTGAGCTACCTTCACCTGTCCACCAAGAAATGTCAAGTTTCTCATTCTAATTCTCAAAGGGCTAAATATTTATCTTTTCCCTCACACAAACTCAAAGAAGCAAATACATATATATAAAAATAAAAGGTATGGATAAATATGCCAGCCAGAATACCTCCAGATCCTGAAGAATATGAGGAAGAGGGGCCTCGTGGAAAGGGTAGGTGTGTGCCCTGGGAAATCAGAAGTTTCCTAGCTACCAATGAAATCCAGGCCCCTTTATGCTCCTTTTTTATTCCTCCTCTGCCTTCCAGCGGAACAAATCCCTTATAGATTGTGTTGGTTCCTGTCATCAGAGATGTGCCCAAACTTCCATGTAAGAGGGTCAGAGGTATAGAGGGAATGTAATTGCGTTCAGAGTAGTATTAAATCTAACACACACACTTCTATTTGAAAATGCACTGGATTGAGAAGAGAGTAGGGATGTAATAGTGTAATTGATTAAGCAATAAACAAAAGCTTATAGCATCATAGAATCCCAAAATGGGAAGGGACCTCAAGTGGTCATTGAGTCCAGAGCCCTGCCTTCACAGCAGGGACAAGCACCATCTAGATCATCCCTGATAGATGTCTACCCAACCTGCTCTTAAATATCTCCAGTGATGGAGATTTCACAACCTCCGTGGGCAATTTATTCTATTGTTTAATCACCCTGGGTATGTCTACACTACCACCCTAGTTTGAACTAGGGTGGTAATGTAGGCAACCGGAGTTGCAAATGAAGCCCGGGATTTGAATTTCCCAGGCTTCATTTGCATCTTGCCGGGCGCCGCCATTTTTAAATATCCGCTAGTGCAGACTCCGTGCCGCGCAGCTACACGCGGCATGGACTAGGTAGTTCATGTTTCACGAGGAGTAATGGTAGTTCGGACTAGGAAGTCTAGTCCGAACTACCTAGTCCGTGCCGCGTGTAGCTGCGCGGCACGGAGTCTGCACTAGCGGATATTTAAAAATGGCGGCGCCCGGCAAGATGCAAATGAAGCCTGGGAAATTCAAATCCCGGGCTTCATTTGCAACTCCGGTTGCCTACATTACCACCCTAGTTCGAACTAGGGTGGTAGTGTAGACATACCCCCTGACAGTTAGGAAGTTTTTCCTAATGTCTAACCTAAACTTTCCTTGCTGCAATTTAAGCCCATTGCTTCTTGTCCTATCATCAGAGGCCAAGGAGAAGAATTTTTCTCCCATCTCCTGGTAACTCTGTAATGAGTCTAGGCAAGCCACATGGCCTCCCTCTGACCCAGAAGAGGAAGGGCCTTCTAAGACCCCTTTTTGGGTGGGTCCAGCCTCACCCATCCCCACCCACAGGAAGGCAGAAACAGGAGTATAAGAGATCAGTGCTCAGTTGGAGCCCAGCTGCTGAACAGGCTAGACACTTGGCCCCAGCTCCAGTGGGGAAGGGCCCAGCCACGCTGCACTCGATGGGAGAAGTGGGTTGGGCCACTAAGACACCTGCCGGCCACTGACGACTGGTCTGGGCCACTGAGACCACTGCCATGGTCTGAAGATTTGCCAAGACCTCCAGACACTCGCTGGGCCCTGATGATTGGACCAGTCCTCCTGGGCCCCTGCCTGAGCCAGACCTAGAACCTACGGACACACTGCCAGCACCTCCATCCGCAGTAGACCCTGAGGAGTAGCGCCCAAGCCAGGTAGGCCCCCAGGAAGAACTGTGAAGCGATCCAGGGACAGCTGACCCCGGGGAGGCTGAGGAGATGGAGGTCGGTTGAGCAGCATGTTGCGGCTTAGATGCCCACTGACCCACAGACCTGGTCAGCATGTTGCAATCTGGATCCAAACCAACCTAGTGGCCGACATGCTGCCACTGTCAGGGCCCTGGGATGGGATGCAGTGGAGCGGGTGGGCCTGTGTCCCTCCTACCACTCCTCTCCTCAGCTGGCAGGTATCCCCCTGTAGGGGCAAAACCCCTGTGCTTGTCAGCTCTCCACCAGCAAGGAGACCTGACCCCCGCCTGGCTGGGAGATGGACAGTGCTTTAAACTGTTCAAACAGAGGGCTTCCATGAGCTTCCAAGCTGGGAGGAACATTTCACAGAGTCACTGTCCTTTCTGTTAATTACATCTGACTATATTCGATGGACTTTCTCTTTCTTTATTCCCCACTGGACAACAGAGTGTGAAGAGCAAAAGGCCTTAAAAGTAAGAGTATCTGGAACTTGATAGATTACAAAAAAAAATTTTCAGAATTCAACTTCGCTTTCACTCTGCCCTCTTATGGGCCTACCCATAATGTGTGTGCATACCAAATTCACAGCCATGAAAAATTCATCATGGGCAGCGAAAGATGGTCTCTCCCATGAAATCCGTGTTGTGTGTGCTTTTACTCTATACTATTCAGAGGGGAGATCAGTGTTTCCTAAATTGAGGGTCCTGACCCAAAAGGGAGCTTCAAGAGAGTTGAAAGGTTATTCTGGGCGGTCAAAGTATTACCACCTTTACTTCTGTGCTGGATTCAAAGCTGAGTGGCCAGAGAGCAGAGGCAGTTGTCCGGGCACCCAGCTCTGAAGGCAGTGTCCTTCCAGCTTCAATAGAGAGGTAAAGGTGGCAATACCATATCATGCCATCCTTACTTCTGTGCTGCTGCTTTTACAGCTTGGCAGCTGGAGAGTGGCAGCTGTTGACTGAGGGTGAGGGCCCAGCTCTACAGGCAGCAGCACTGAGGAAAGGGTGGCAATACCATACCATGCCATCCTTACTTCTGAGCTGCTGCTGGGGGCTCTGCCTTCTGGGCTGGGATCTTGGCCAGCAGCCACCACTTTCCAAGCGCCCAGCTCTGAAGGCAGTGCTGGTATCTGCAGCAGCACAGAGGTAAAGACAGCAGGACGGTAATCCCCATACAATAATCTTGTACCTCCCTATAATCTCCTTTTTGGAACAGGACCTCTAAAGTTACAACACTGTGAAACTTCGGATTTAAATAGCTGAAATCATGAAATGTATGGTTTTTAAAATAATCTATAATTGTGAAATTGACAAAAATGGGCCGTGACTTTGATAGGACTAATTTTGTGTGAAAGTCTATGAGGTGTACAAGTGCCAGTCCCTAAACAGCCACACTAAGCAATGTTTCAGGATTTGGATGAATGTGAAGTCTGCATGGCTTTGGTGGAAGTGAAGAAAAAGAAATTAAAATGCTTAAGCCATTTTGTATTGTACAAATGTAACATTTATTCTACAATGAGGATTTCTCCATAAATATGTTGTATGCAATGTATCTGTAATAGTACTGAGGGTATCCAGAATATATATTATATAAATTATTAATTGAAACTGTCCAGATACTACTCAGTAAGACTCATGATTTAGTACCCAATTGTGCAGTCTTTACTCAGAAAAAACGCCCACTGAGTGTGTTGTATCATATAATTGCAGGATTCATGTCTTATTTATTTGTTTTAATATAGGCCTTACAATTATATAAATAATTGCAGAGGTGAACATGAAAAATTAAATTGGTTGGTTTGTTGTGGCCTCTGGATAGGATCATTGATTTTTTTTCTGGGCTGCAAATGACTGAAGTTATTTAATATTTTCCTTAGCTATAATGAACTGTTAGATGATTATGCCAATTAAATGCCAATGTACTCACCACAGGCATTTGATCAAAGGAGCGAATAGAAGACAATCTATCTGTAAATAAGTAAAACATGAAATATTTTTCTCTAGTATTCATAAAATTATATATTAATATATCTATGAATGTCCACTTCTACCTGTTGGATTCCCTCGAATATGTTCCATTTTTTCTTGAAGAAGAGCAGTTTGCCTTTCTAGTTGTCTGTTCAATTCTACTTGTGTCTCATACCTGGTTTTCCATTCATTACCTCAAAAGAAACACAAAGTTACTATAGTTTTAGAGGGGTAGCCGTATATGCAAAAACAATGAGGAGTCTAGTGGCACCTTAAAGACTAACAGATTTATTTGGGTATAAGCTTTTGTGGGTAAAAACCACTGTGTCATCCATATGCATCTGACAAAGGAGTTTTAGTCACAAAAGCTTATGTCTGAATAAATTTGTTAGTCTTTAAGGTTGTCACAAGCCTCTTTGTTGTTTTAAAAAAGTTACTATTTTATTTCCAAAATTTAATTCATCCCACTAAAACTAGAAATTACCTTTTTCAGAATGACTCCACCTTCTTTAAGAGCCTGGCACCCCCACATCTATGTAAGGCTATGTCTACACTGCAGGGAAAAGTCGGGAAAAGATACGCAAATTGCAAATCGCAATTTGCGTATCTTTTTCCACTTTTCTTCCGAAAGAAGTTTTTCCGACATTTGGCCCGTCTACATGGGGCCAAATGTTGGGGAAAAACCCCTCTTTCAGAACATCCCTTCTTCCTCATAGAATGAGGTTTACAGGAATTCTGAAAAAACATCTGCTTTTCTGAAATTTTTTTTTGGAAAAGAAAAAACGTTCCTTGGATGCAGCAGAGCTTTTCCGGGATACCTCTGGTATTCCAGAAAAGCTCTGCAGTGTAGATATAGTCTAACCAAGAAAATGTTCCTCTGCAAACAAGGGAATTTGAAAAAGATACTAGGAGAAATATTGGCCTCGGGGAAATCAATTGGAGTTTTGCCATTTACTTCTGTGGATATGTGTACACTGCAATGTAAATTAGGATTAGTGGGACTGGTGTTAGATGACACATGTTCAGGAACCCTTGGTTTGAGCAGCTACATTGTATTTTAACCCTAAATTAATAATTTAATGACCTGTGCTTAAACATAGGGCTCTGGCATTCACACTGCAATGCACAGATCTGAGTCACAATAACTACATCCCATAGTCCCTAGCATGCCACCCTTGCCTTCTGAAATAATACTATTCTAGCCTTGGACACATGGTGCATTCTGGGAAAACGTGCAGAGAGAGCCCTAAAGTTATCAAGAAGGAGCTCACTTTGCAAAAGGCTTGATCAGTTTGTTTTCCATTTCAAACCCAGGAAGCTCTCTGATAGTGTGTGTGATAGACAGGAGCAGTGCTGGCCAGCAGCTAGTGACTAAAGGGTTAAACTCAGGGAGCTAGCAGGGGCAGCACTCCTCCTATCCACCACACTGTGTTTGCAGGTCAGTGATCAGAACTAGGGATGTAAGGGTATGTCTACACTACCACCCAAGTTCGAACTAGGGTGGTTAATGTAGTCATACGAACTTGCAAATGAAGCCCGGGATTTGAATTTCCCGGGCTTCATTTGCATGTTGCCGGGCGCCGCCATTTTTAAATGTCCGCTAGTGCGGACTCCGTGCCCGCGGCTACACGCAGCACGAACTAGATAGTTCGGACTAGGCTTCCTATTCCAAACTATCTGTGCTATCCACGAGGCGTATAGATAGTTTGGAATAGGAAGCCTAATCCGAACTATCTAGTTCGTGCTGCGTGTAGCCGCGGGCACGGAGTCCGCACTAGCGGACATTTAAAAATGGCGGCGCCCGGCAACATGCAAATGAATCCCGGGAAATTCAAATCCCGGGCTTCATTTGCAAGTTCGTATGACTACATTAACCACCCTAGTTCGAACTAGGGTGGTAGTGTAGACATACCCTAAGTGACTAATCGACTATCCGATAAGCATGAGTTTATTGGACAGTCGAGTAGTGACTGAATTTGCTGCTTTCCCACCCCAGGCTGCGTCCATCAGAAGGAGCAAGGGTGAGGGAGCAGGAACCAGTGCTGGAGAGAGCCGGCTTAAAAGCCAGTTACCCCTAGCACTGTCTCCGTGGGGGACACGAGAGGCAAAGGCGTAGGGGGACCAGGCGTGAGCTGGGAATCAGCTGATTCCCAGCTCACACACGGTCCCAGAGACTGTGCCTCTGTTTTTTAAATGTACTAAGAGCCTCTAGGCTCTTAATATATTTAGAAGGCTGAAGTGCAGTGTGGGGGACCAATACTGAGCCAGGAATCAGCTGTCGCAGTTCATGCCTGGTCTCCTCTCTGCCCCCGCTGTGCTTCAGCCTTTCAAATGTATTAAGAGCTGTCGGGAGTCAAACCCTCTGCAGTTTCCCCCCTTATCAACTAGTCAATAGAAATTCCATCAACTAGTCAATTAGTTGATTAAATGCAATTTAACATCCCTAATCAGAAAAGAATGAGTTAATGCTGATGTAAGCTGCTGTAGTTTCCCAGGAGAAGGAGTGTTTCTGTTTTCAATAGAGTGGATTGCAGACTCTCAGGATAGAGAGAACTAAGGAAGTTGTCCCATGGAATTATAGGATGCTTCCAGGTGACTTCTTGGACATAGGTCAAATGGGGCTGTAGCTACACTGCAAAGCAACAAGACTTAGATCTTGGGTCCAATCTAGAGATACAATAGTGCAGTCGATTAAACTATTAACCGATAATCGGGTGCTTATCAGTTAACACTATGGGCTACATGCAATTCCCTCCCCCCTATGACTCTTCATGTATATTTTTTTAGTGGGCTGGCCAACAGGCAGGCTCAGTCCTGACAGCAACCTCCGCTGTGTCTCAGCATTATTATGGGACTGAGGAACAGGCACACAGGCAGGCTGTCTCAGTCCCGGAGTGCGCCGGATCCCAACATCAACCCTGCTACGGCTCTGCATTAGACGCACTTTAGGAACTGGTGCGCAGGTAGGCTAGCTCAGTCCCAGCTCAAGCTGGGTCCCAACAAATAGACTGAGCCAGCCTGTCCATGCGCCAGTTCTTAAAGTGCTTCTAATACGGAGCTGCAGTATGGGTAGTTGCTGGGACCTGGCTTAAACTGGGACTGAGTGCTTTCACTGCTAAGCCTTATCAATTAAACGTGAAATGAGGTTTACTGGAGCGGTCGACAAAGGCTTCCTTTGTCGACCACAGTGCGTCCAGAATGCCCCGCTGTGCCGCCAAACAGCTGATCGGCACAGTGCGGTGGCAATTTTGATGTAAATGAAGCGGCGACTATTTAAATCGCTGCTTCATTTTCCTATGTCTAGTAAACTCATCTACATGGCTCCGTCGACAGAGCCATGTAGTCTAGACATACCCCTAGTCTTGATTTAAAAATGGTCTGAGATGGTGTCTCCATCATGACCTTTGGTGAATCATTTCAATGTTTAATTACTCTTTTTGTTAAAAATTATATCTGATTTCCAATCTGAATTTGTCTAGCTTTCAACTGCCCGCCATTGGATTGTGTTATACTTTTTTATGCTAGATTGAATATTATTAAATACGTGTTCTCTATTAAGATACTTATAGACTAATCAAGCCACCTTTTAATCCTCTTTTTTGTAACAAAAATAGACTCAAGGAGCTCAAGCTATTTCTGAGGCAAGTTTTCTAATCCTTTATTATTCTAGAGGCTCTCCTCCAAACTCTCTCCAATTTATCAACATGTTTCTTGAATCACGGACACCAGAACTAGACACAGTATTCCAGAAGCGGTCACTCCAGTGACAATGACAGAGGTAAAATAACATCTCTATGTCCATTCAAGATTCTCCTGTTTATGCATCCCAAGATCCCAATATCACTCTGGAAGCCCATGCTCAGCTGATTATCCACCCCTCCCCCAAAAAATATTTTTCAAAGTCACTGCTTCGCAGGATAGAGTCCCCATACTGTAAGCAAGGCCTACATATTTTTTTTGTTCCTTGACATGAACTTTTACATAAGTTATATTTAAAAAAACATACTATTTGCCTCTGTCCAGTTTACCAAGCAATCCAGACATCCTGAATCGGTGACCTATCTTTTTCATCTATCTACCACTCCTCCAAATTTTGTGCCATCTGCAAACTTCATCAATGATGATTTTATGTTTTCTTCCTGGTCACTGATAAAAATATTAAGTAGCATAATGTAAAGTATTTATCCCTGAGAGATCCCACTAGAAATACACCCGTTCAATAATGAGTCTCCATTGATCATTACATTTTGAGAACTTTCAGATAGCCAGTTTTTAATTTAATATGTAGTATGTTAATTTTATATTGTTCCATAGTAGAACTTCAGAATTATAACCTGACTGGTCAACCTCACACTTCTTTTGGAATTAGAAGTATGCAATCAGGCAACAGCAGAGACAAAAACAAACAAAAGTAAATATAATACAGTACTGTGTTAAAAGTAAAATACTAAAAATAAAGGGAACGCTTAAAAACCAATTTGACAAGGCAAGAAAACTGTTTCTGTGCTTAGTTCATTTAAATTAAAAATGGTTAAAAGCTGCTTTTTTGCATAGTAAAGTTTCAAAGTTGTACTAAATCAATGTTCAGTTGGAAACTTTTGAAGGAACAACCATAATCTTTTGTTTGGAATTCCAACAGCCTCCATTGCTGAGGTAACTTTGAAGTACTACTGTACTGAAGTTTTTTAAATCAAAATGTCAAGCAGTACCAAGTAAACGCCTTACAGAAGCCTAAGTGTAGTACATCAACACTATTGTTTTTATCAACCAAACTTGTGATCTCATCCAAAAAGAATCTCAATTTATTTGGCTCTATTTCCCACAAACCCATGCTGATGTGCATTAATTACACTATGCTCCTTTCTTTGATTAATCAAGGATGCAACTGATATGGGACTTATCTTTCCAAGGATTAATGTCAGGCTGACAAGCCTTTAAATAGTGGATCACTCAGTGTACTCTTTGAAATGGCACAACACTAGCTTCCTTTCAGTCTTCTGGAACTTCCCCAATGCTCCAGGACTTATTGACAATCAACATTAATGATCCAATGAGCACCTCAGCCAGTTCTTATAAAAGGTCTGGATGCAAGTTATTTGGACCTTTTGGCTTAAAATGTCTAACTTTTTAGTAGCTTTTGTTTAAAATTCATAAGAGAAATTAGAGGAATGGAAAGAGCATTATCATCATATGA